GGTTCTTTTGACTATGTCGTACTTAAGACTTCATTTTCTAGTGTATTGTAAGTTTATGATTGCAAAGAGAACAAGACCATACAACTTAAGCGCTTGGCGTAAAATTTGCATAAACCGCTGGTCTGAACAAATGCCATGACGAGGCAAGGAATAAATGAATGAAATTAACTTAAAGCCGACTGCTAGTGTAACCTAAATCATAAAAGTCAAAAGTTAAGAACTAGAGGAAGATTACAATAACCAGAGCCGCTGCAGATATTGCCGAGATATTTCATACGAAAATGTCATCTAGTTGACAAGTCATCAGTCAGCGAGGATAAGCTAAAATCTTGTAATTTGAAATTATCTATCATCATCATTTTTTAAATTCGAATCTGAATCTCTCAGGTCCCATGCATTAGAGTAGGGTTTCTTAAACCTTTTTCAGTTGCGATCCCTTTTTATCACTGAAATTTTTTCGTGACCCCTAGGACCCCATAATATTTACAAAATTTTTGTGGGACCCCATAAGTATTACGCAAATCCGACACACGCGGGAGTGAAACTGTCAATTTTTTTTCACTTGTACTATAATATACTATTGCGGTTTTGGGTCATTAACTTTAATTTCTTAGAACAATGTGAAAATTTTAAATAAGTAACAGACGAAATGACAGCGTCACGTGCAAAGCAAGTAAAACGAAAGTTTATATTATTATAAAAAGAATGCGTCGAAAAGTTTTCGTTTTTTTCTTTGTCTGTATTGTCTTTATCCATTTTCAGATTCATTGTGTAAAAATATTTGGTAATTATAAAATTACTATAATAGTTTAATGAAATATCAAAACTGTTAAAATTTTTGGCGACCCACAGTTTAAGAAACCCTGCATTAGAGAACACGAGTCATTGTTTTGAAATACCGAAGAAGGAAAAAGTGTCTTTTGAAATCAATAATCATTGAGCGCAAATAGTAAAAATTTATTTTTTGAATAACTGTAAGGTTAATAAAATACTGACTAAGATTCGCCCTGATTTAATTATCTAAACAATTAAAATACGAATTTGAAAATAATGCCCTTATGCCCTTTTTGCTCACATCAATAAGAAATTACTTGCACGTATAATAAGAAAAATTAGATTTACAAAAGCTGCTGAAAGTAGTATTTAGCGGAATAGCCGAATGAAAGGACGAAAGAATTATAAAGCACAAGAGCTGAATATGATCACGGTAACAAAATGATGTGAAGCTAAAAATGTGAAGTTTCAAGAAAATATTGCTAAATCTTTTTGTTACAAGCAGGAAATTATTTTCCTGATATCTTGAGTCATCTTGAATTTTGATTTAAGAGGCTGTCTTCGTGAACAGTATATTGAGGAATCAAGAAAAAATTAAACTATTTGAAAATCAACTCTAGTTAAAGATATGAAATCCACAGTTTTCAACAACAATTCTTATTATAGTTAGAGCATTCATTCACGTCACATGCAGCTCCTATACGTTATTGCGAATCTGTTCATGGAATATATTTCACAAAAATCTTTATTGGGCTTCCTTTGCCGAAAAATGAAAAATCCTATTTTTAACTATTACTTTGTGACTGAAGAAAGCCGAAATGTAGAGACAATGTTTTTTAATAAAAAAGACGTGTATGTTATGTCAGAAAAGGCAAATGCGTGCGTTGTGGACACAATGCTAACGTTTACAGAGCGTCTGGCATGCTTATTAATAAAGTTTATATTAACTGCTAATACAAGAAAATACTGATTCAGCATCTGAAAACACTGTAAATTATTATTAAGCGTTTAATTTAATTATTCTGTTTTGAAGCTGTGAATGATAACGATTGGTAAAGCAATTCAAAATGAAATCCTATAGTTTTAAAACTTTTATTCTGGAAAAAAGGTAAAATGTTATTTTTATATATTTAAAATTGCCGAATGTTAAAATTTCAGTGATACAGTCCATAGGTTGCTATAAGCCTTATTATTATGATCTAACTTCATGATTTGCATTCTGTGAGTGCTAAGATATTATGAGGTGAATGAGATTTAAGGCATGAGTTGCCTAATTTTGTCATTGCTTGCTTATTGTTATTTGAGTTACTATACTATGCTCATTTGGAGCAACATTAGCAATGGCATCAGTAGCTTGGTTAATATAATTCAAAAAGCCGAAGACCAAAAAATGGCTTAAAAAAAGGACGAAGGGAAAAAAAAGTATGGGGGCTGTAGATGTGAAGCTGTAGCCGGCGTATATCAAAAACTGTAATTCCATAACATAATTTCTCATTTAGGAAAAGGAGAAAATCGGGAAAAAAAGCAATGAACTATTTTATTTCAAATGTTCTGATTCTTCTTCTTTTTTTTTAACTTTCTGAATTAAAAACATGACTGTAACCTCGACACAGGCTGATATTACAAAAATATTACAAACATAAAAAATGTTAATTTTTGAAAATTTGAATATGTGCGTAAGAAAATGAAAATAAATTGACATTTCGGTTTTAAATCACTACAGCTGATCAATGTTTACATTTACAAGTAGTGTTTTCGAAAACGAGAGTTATAAAAAATGATTTGGAAGAAAGCATTGAAAAATTAGAAAAAAATTGTTCTTTTCGTGCTTTGAACAAGTTAATCAAAAACAAGCAGCCAAAAATGTTTAGTTCCCTTTGTGCTCTCGACAAGAATTAACATCGGTATTAACCCTCTCGCTGCGTATCCCACGATTTCCAAGGGCGACGGAGAAGTAGCAAAATTTGTGCAACCCGCAATTTCCGCAGAGATGTATTTTTTCTGTCTTTTGAACTGTGCAAGCCCACTCTTTTCCAGTTAATGGTTTCATTTCAACTTTTCTGTGATGATTGGTTGTTTGTTCAGGTCTGAGTTAACAGATGGCGCTAGTTGTCCATATTTCTGAGAAATATACAAGCATGTTTTGCAGCATTTTGCGTACTCTTATCAAATTTCAAAGATGTCTGACGCAAGTGATATAACCTACATTCCCGACAATATTTCGGACACTAATAGCGGTTCTGACACTGATTTAAAGTATCTTGAAGATAAATACAGCGAAAATGATGAGAGATTCTAGGATTCCTCTGTGGATTAATAATAAATCTGAGGAATCATTTTCTATTCAAAACATTAGAGAGTGATGCAAAATTGATATGCAAAATATTCCACCAGCTCTTGCTTCATTTCCTTTTCTTGTGGAATGCCTGTGGAATGCTTATATCCTTTATAAAAATGATACATATAATACTTCTTGAGTTCCGTTTGCAAATAATTGAACTAAGCACTCAGAAGGAAATAACATTGCTTACCCTGTCCGTTGTAGTTCAACTCTCAATCCCAAGAGACTAATTGCCCGACATTTTGCTAGCATATACCTCCTAGTCCCATCAAGAAAGAGCATCGTGGATAGCTTGTTGTTTGTTGCAATACAAAATTGAAATTAGCAAAAAAATTTGCAAAGGAACGCGAATTTGGTGAAAGAATGCGAGGTAGGACTTTGTCTCGAGCCTTGTTTTCGAAGTTTATCATACTAAACTTTATTTCTAATAAATATTTTGTAAGTATTTTACATATTTTCATTGGTACATACGATTTACCTCTGTATTTCATAAAATAAATCATAATTTAAACAAGATTAATTTTCAGAATTTTGCTTTTATACGATTATTCTTCATTTTCAGTTTTCCAACTACCTTTTTTATGATCTAATTCTAGATTGAAAAAAAAAAAAAAAAAAAAAAAAAAAAAAAAAAAAAAAGAAAAACTCTTTTACAAAAACTTTTTGTATTTTTTAATTCTAAAATATATGTAGATTTGAAATATGTAATAAAAAAATATGCAATTTTTTAACCTTTTTGATAAAAAAATTACATAGCGAGAGGGTTACCATATAGGAAACATTATTTGACACAATCATTTTGGATTAAAAACAAATGCTTATCGTTGGACAGACATAGGGACATTAGTTGATCGTTTTAATTTAAATCATTATTCGATTTCATAGAAAACTGAGGGCTTACTGGTTGGTGCAGAAGTAACACAAATTTACTAAAGATAGAGAAATTCAAGTTGCTCTCTCACGATATAAGGTGTCTCAGCACCAGGTTTTCAAACTTGTGGAAGAGGTAGGAATTATATAGTAATATGGTTGAGAAATGACATATACATGCTGTAGTGTGTCACGTGCTTCCCTGGCAACTGCAACCAATGCCTTGACGCCATCAGCACGGGTATGCACCCAGAAGTAATCAAAGCATAGTAGATCCGGGGATCGAGCAGTCCAAGCTCCTGGTTCATCACGTCCGATCCACTGTTCGACAAAATGTAATGTCTAAGAGATTCTTTATATCAGATGTTTAACTGCTAAATCTGTATTGGTAAAATCATCCATTCACCTTTGCATCAAATTTGTTAAATGATTCCACCATCCAAGAACGTTCGGACCAACGCTATCAGCCGCATCAGGAAAACATTTTTTACCCTGCATTACGATCCGATTCTGAGTCGGCTGGATCCATTCTACTCCTCAACAAACCCTTTACGAAACTTGTCTTTGAAACTAATGAAGTAACGCTTCATTAGTTACAAGTCTTACGTGTCTTTAAAACTAATGTAAAATAAATTCCACTCTCTAAGAGAAGTAATGCTTAATTCTTTGAATACATGTATAAAGCTCTAATTGAGCAGGCTTTGTTTTATATTCTGCTTTTGTATTTCTTTCCAACTCAGCTTGTCGAGAAGCGTACAAGCGTATCTAGTATTTAACACGAAGTATGCGTCGAAGTAGATATAGAGGAATTGAGAAGTGCAATGCTTGGTAAGTAAGGGACAATTTTTCCTAATTTAACTTTGCCTTATTGGTGGACTTATTTTACAAATGGAGATCAGCTGTTGTAGTGTTCATAGTTACTTAATTTACTAATGGTCACAGCAAATTTGTAAGAACTTCCTTTAGTATAAAAAAGTACGTCTTTTATCCAAATAATTAAATAATTAAACAGCAGTTTAATAAAAAATATTTATAATAACAAACAATATACATTAAAATAGGAAAAAATTAAAGAAATTAGCTTCTATTTCTGCTTGTAACTTGCATTCGTATTTCTACCAGCATTAAAGAAATTACGGAGTTACAATTCAGTTTTACACTACTTTACAAGAATTAGAATTTAACAAATCCTTTGCATGGGTTTCACTAGTTTTTGTGTTTTTCTCAGCTGTGTATGGACGATTAATCGCTAACAACAGCAATGCCATTTTGCACACTTAGTAAGTTAATGAACCAGATAAGATTAGAAAGCACTAGGACTTTACATGCGTATATTCTTTTTATTTACTAGGCTCATATTTTTTTTATTACACTAGGTATATTTTCTCCATATTTAATTATTGTTTCTTATTCAGTTAATTTTTCTAATGACAGCGATAAAAGGATTAAATGCTAACTTTTTAAGTGCAGTTTATTGGAATTGTGTACGCGAGAGTTTCTTTTTAAAGAGCCTAAAATGACTTGAGTGCTTTCTAGTAGCGAAATAAAAGTACAGTAAAAATACAGTATAAATACAATAGAAATAAAATAGAGTTCTAAATATTGATAGTTCAGGTATGATATTCATTGCCTCCTACTGCGGAAAAAAAAATCTGACCGATTGCGATATTTTCTTTGACTATCTCCGTCTCATTCCTAAAATATGTCTTTAAATATTTTATCTCTAAAATATGTCTTTTAATGTCTTATCCCTAAAATATGCGAATTTTTTAATGTGATTTAGTCCCAGTAAATAAAATGAGGCACATGTAAATCGAGATTAATATCTTTGAGAATAACGGCTCGCAATTCGCTGCTGTAAGTATGGTCGCACCAAAAGAAGTCAATAAAAAAATTTGAAGGTTTCTCGAAAATGCCAAATAAATAGAAAGTGTTGAGAATCGTAGATCCCATACGTATATCATGTAAAATTTTGAGTCCATCTATTTTGGGATCAATTGTTATATTTTTTCCCTTTATCACAACTGCAACTAATAAATAACTCTCATTTCTAATGGAATCTTCTGAAATTCCATCATCGATATATAATTCACCATAAGCCCAAGTTTTTACATAGTCATTAATGTTTTCATTGTTGAAGTTGTAACAATCAAAGGCTGCTGTGAAGATATAATTTTTCATCCGGGTTGATTCTGTGGTTAAATCAGACGACTGGCTTGGAATTATTTGACCTCCCCTGATATGTAATGGTATTTGGTCAAAAACCATTATGCTTTGATAATGACCTGATTTTGATTGTATCATTTTCCCAGTGTACATGTCATACCAGCAACCTGGTGGGAAGAAAACTCGAATCTCTGAAGCAGAGGGTTGTAGAATTGGAGATACTAAAAGCGCAGGACCCCAAAGAAATTGTTCATCAATAACATATGTTTGGGTAACGTTTGGAAATTCAAAGAACAATGGTCTCACAACAGTGTCTCCGTATTTGGCGGAGTAATAGAATAAAGTGTAAAGGTAAGGTAGCAAAGAATATCGCAAACCTATCATATTTCGAGCAACTGAAGCTAATCTGGGATTATGAAGAAATAATTCATTTCCGTCCATTCTGTGAGTTAGTAAGAGGGGCTGGAAGGCAGCATATTGAAGCCAACGAGAGCACAGTTCTGTATCGATAACGCCACTTGTCCCACAAACTGGTATCCCAGTCAGAGGCATACCAAACAAGCTGAAATCGAGCATCTGTATGACTGATTGCTTAAGACTTTTCCATGAACCTGAAACTAATCCACCCCAGGAGCTAGAATAAGTGCCACTACCGATGAACGTAGATGCGCTTGATAAGAACTTTCTCCGTCTTACAAAGTGTGAGATGTTATCAAGTGAAGATTGTACTTGAAGTGTGCTCTTATAACCATAAATATTGTGGAGAAATAAATGAGGTATATTGTTGCTATGTACTGCGGCCATGCTTAGTGTTCCAATAGATAAATTATTCCATAATAAGTTAGAAGACCCATTCATGTCATTATTGTCAGAGCAAGTTGTTTCTTTGGAAGAACTGAAGTTTACCGGTGTATTTCGTTGAAAAAATAAACCATCAAATTTGAACATTTTCGAAAGCTTTTTGAAATTTTTCTGTAGCCAAGAAATAATTTGATCACTGAAGAAATCTGGATATGTTACTTCAAGCCCATTTGGTAGAAAACCAGTTATTAATTTCCTAGATATATTAGACATTACATATATACGGTCTGAAAGCTGAGTTGAGCAATTGTCTTCATTAAAGTTCACTTGAGAATCCTGAAAGAGAACAAATTTTCTGTTAGTTGACTTAAGAAACTTATAAAGTGATAGAAAATCGTGTGAAATTTTGCTATTAGCAGTGAATGCAGATTCCAACAATTGAGAACTACCACAGTCAGATTCATGGGGTATATTTTCGTTTATTGTGAAATTCAAGTACGATACAACATCGTTCAAGCTGTCGGTTTCTCTACAAGAATGATAGCCAAGAGACCATAACGGAGGCATAGACGGTTTTCCAACGTACTCGGTTAACTGTCGAATAACATCTTTTGGCGTTGGTCCTAAGAAAATATGAAAACGAAGAAAAGATTCAGTAGTTCGAAATGTAATCGCTGGGGCTCCACTAGTTGTGATGCTTATCGGAGAAGTGCTTAAGAGCAGCACACCATGACTTCTTGCATCTGACTCTACAACTAAATAGAACGGATGGACACCTGAAGTAAAGTAATCACGAGGCTCGCTTTCATTTTCGAATTCTTCTCTAGCGAAGAGCAGGACACGTTTCGTTGATTTCAAATTATGCTGGAAAGAATTTTTTGGATACTGGCCGATTCCATATAAATTAAATGAGGGTAATAACGAAGTTACTTCTGTCAAGCCTTCACTTATAATAAGAGGTCCATGAAAAGTATTAAAAATAGGGACATTTCTGGAATTTTTTCTGTAAACTTTGAAGTGAAAATAAGGTTTGTCATTGATTGTTATTTCGTAGCTAACATTTTCTTTTCTTACGTGATGGTTGAAATTCAAATAATCAAGAGAATTAAATTTAGAATTGCTTCCTAGGATTATCTCCAAGTGATGTGAGGACAAGTATGCTATTCGAATTCTTTCAGTTTCAGAAACTGCTTCACCCATCACGGTCTTGTTAAAAGCAGATAACAGTAAAATATCCATAGTACCTTCTTCTGACATATTTCTTGAGATTAATTTGTAAACGTAAGCTGTAGGATGAGAATGATAGCAATAGGATTGAGAATTATCCCAACAACATCCAGCAGCTTCGCAGTTTTCTTTAGTCTTGGAGTAAGAAAAGGTTCCAGGGAAACAGTCAATTCTAACAAAGATACAAAAGAAGTAATTAAGAGTTATGTTTAGTTATATAATGAATAAATAATTAAAATGAAGCTATTAAGCAAGGAACGATATGAAAGACATAAGAGAAGTCAGTTAACTTTATAATAGAGTGAAATTCAGCCATAAAATAAATTGATTTTGATTAAATGTTCTGTATTATTTAGTCATCTTCAAACACAAAGCTGTCTTTATTAACGCAGGTTTAGTTTTATTTAACTTTTATAGTGAATGAATATTGATAATCTATAGCATGATTCAAAATATTTTTCATCATTTTCAAACTAATTTAATTAAATAAAGTGTAGAAATCAGCTTTTAAGAAATTTATAAAATGATAAAAGTCATTTGTAGTTTTATTTGTAATCTGTTGCTGTCTTCAGCCGCTGTGGAATTTTAAATGACTAAGGCCAAGCAGCGGCCAATTGAGTAAACATGTGATCGTTTTCATCTCACTAAAAAGGCAAAAACCTCACAAACTATCTGCTATGCTCATATCGAATCTTTCTCTTCTAACTAACTTTAGGTCAAGCCAATGCAAGAACTAGGTAAATATAGTGTTGAGAAAAGAAAGGTACTAGACATTTCTCGGCGGCAGAGGTAAAACTATGTAAGACCAAAGAGAGCTTCAATTCTGAGTTTTTCAGCTCAGAGTAGACTTCGGAGTATTGACAGATCTCCGCGCAATTTTTGGTGTGAACGAGCTCCCAAAGGACATAATAACGACATTTTCACAACTGTTGCAAAAAGTTGGAATTTTGCGAACATTTAGGCGTCGTAAAGACGTCGTGATACGATGTTTTGACAGCCAAAATAGAACCTGCGAAAGACGAAATAACGACGTCTATGCGACCTTCGCTCTTTAGATGCGCTTTGCATTGCATAGTGTTTAATGTTTTTAGTATTTTGAGGTGATAACTATTGATTGTGCTCTGTTACAGCTGTACATGTACTTTTGTGGAAAATTCCAAAACTGTAAAGTTTTTTTTCATGAAAATAAGTTCTATAAAGCTACCATCGGTTCTGTCTGCATTCAATCCATTACGAACCTGTACGCACGCAACAATTTTTGGTGTCAGAAGAAGGTTTGAATACCGGTAACAAGAACGATGATAGGACAAGTAAAACAGCTGATGACAGCCTTTGCTGAGTTCCATGAAGAGATGAAAGAAGACGTCAAGTCCGTTACTTAAGAGATGAAAGCGGGCTAAGTAAAGATGGAAGGTACCGTCAAATCAGTTCAAGAAAAGTTGGATGTTGGACAAGAAGAAACGAAAAGATAAATTACTGTTAGATTAGAAAACAAGTTCGAGGCTGTGGAAGGCAGAATATACATGGTTAAAAATAAAACCTGGAGGAACTGAAGAAAGAGTTTTTGCTATCAAACAAAAAATCGAAGAAAAAATTTCTGTTGTCGAATAACAAATCGATTACAGAGTTTCTGCTGCTATCGTCAAGGAAGCTGACAGCTTGAAGAGGCTCATAGCGACAGCTGGACACAATTCCGATGCCTTTAAATTCATTCATTTCTTTCCAACCTTCTGTAAAGCTATCCACTATGTAAATGATATTTCAGTGATTTTATAATTTCAATACATCTACGATTACAAAATAGTTGGTGTGGTAAAGTTTATTTCGTTGGTTGTGGTGGCAAAAGTATATGTCACATGTTATGATAAACAGGAATATAGTGGCAACTTACCACAGGACAAGATTCAGGTCTATAGTCTGCCGTGACGAGAAAGTGACAAACACGTGAAAACAGACTTAATTCTTGCTTCATTGAATACTAACAATGCTGAAGAGATATTCCTTTTTTTTGAATCCGTTGTGTCACATGGCGATATGAGGCTTTCTCACTCAGAAAAAAAAGATAGATTAATTCTTCCACGAAGCCCTTCGAAGACTTGGTATATTTCAGCTCAATCACATGCAAGTACTCTTCATCGGAATGCCGGGCGAAAATGCCAAGCCCGGGGGAAAAAAATCAGCTTAAATTTTGCAGCTACAGCATCAAAGAGAAAGAAACTCTCTTCCTTCGTACACACTGGGAGACCAAGAAAGCTTGCACGATAAATTCCCAAAAAGTTTGCATTTTACCCCGTTCTTACCGTCTTTCTCTATGCAGCATCTCCATCTCGCACCTTCACAATCTCCTCCTTCTCCTCCCTCCTGGTGGACAAAAATTACCGCCTTTTGTAAAGTTACACAGTTAAGTTTTGCCGCCAATGAAAAAAATCCAGCGTCAGAAGGCAACCAATCGCAAAATACTTTCAGCTACCCAGGCAAACAGAAGTGAAGACGCTAGTTGTCTGACGCAATACTTTCCTCCACTTACAACAGTTGTCTGATGCAATACTTTCCTCCACTTACAACAGTTGTCTGATGAAATCTGTTCCTCACCTTACAACATAAGTTGGCGAAAAAAGGAAACTATCACCAATGGAATCTGATGCAAATATCTAAATATTGCCATAACGTAGTAAATAATTAATTCAATGTGACCTCGTCACAATTGGTGTCTTGCCTAGTCAAGCACTGATCTAATATCAAATTATCTGCAACGAACTAAATTATCATAATAACACACATTTACACTGTTAGGAAAAAAAAAAGATGCACCGAGAATGAGTTATCCGAATGGGACGAAAATCGGTAGAAGTGATGTACATGTACAGAAAAACAAATGATTACAGTTTGAGAAAAATTTGATGATTTATTGAAGCGATAGAGCTTCACAAAGTGAAAATGTCAGTAAGCGTTTGTCCACATCTGGCCCTTATGCAAGCAGTTATTCGGCTTGGCATCGATTGATAGAGGTGGCGGATGTCCTCCTGAGGGATATCGTGCCAAATTCTGTCCAACTGGCGTGTTAGATCGTCAACATCCCGAGCTGGTTGGAGGGCCCTGCCCATAATGCTCCAAACGTGCTCAATAGGAGAGAGATCCGGCGACCTTGCTGGCCAAGGTAATGTTCGGCAAACACTATGGCAAGCAGTAGAAACATGTGCAGTGTGGGGGCAGGCATTATCTTGCTGAAATGTAAGCTCAGGGTGGCGTGACATGAAGGGTAAGACAATGCGTCGAAGTACCGCTGTGCTGTAAGGTTGCGACGGATGACAACCAAAGGGGGCCCTACTATGAAATGAAATGGCACCCCAGACCATCACTCCTGGTTGTCGGCCTGTCTGACGGAAGACAGTCAGATTGGTATCACACCGCTGTCCGGGGCGTCTCCAGACTCACCTTCGCTGGTAATTGGGGCTCAGTTCAAACCAGGACTCATCACTGAACTATTCTACACCAGTCAGTGACATTCCAGTGCGAATCAGCTCGACACCACTACATACGGGGTTGACGTTGTGCAGAGTTCACGGTAGTCGGCGAAGGGGGCGCTGTGACCTCAGCGCCTTTCGTGAGCGTCTATGAATGTCCTTGCGGTCATGAAAAATAGTTGCCGTACAATCGAGATAATGTGACACGGGGCTGTGAGGCCGCTCTGATGATTGCTCGGTTCAGTCTCTCGTTTCTCGGCTACCGTTCCTTCTTGACGCTGTGTGCGGCCATGGTTCACGCCCTGCCCAAACATCGTCAATAGTGGCATCGCTGCTGCTCAATGTTGAGTATCGCCGAAGACCAACGGCTTCTTGAGTTAACACAAGGACTCTCTCAATTCTGAACATCTGCGCATATTCGTCGCGCACATGTATGCGAGCATTACTGTCTACAGAGTACACGGAAGAAATTCGTAAGAATTTATGACCTGGATCGTATTTCTCCTCTTAATAGCCTGCAGTGAGCAGATCAGATGCGCTGAGCGAGAACCTTCGTCTTGGCAGGAAAATGAAAATTTTGCATGTCCGTCGAAACGGTTGCATATCAATTTGTGTCATTTGCTTAATATACGCTGTGCGTCGTGGGATGTATTTTTTTGTTTTTTTTGTAAGAGTGTATATATATATTATCTTTCTTTACAAAAACGAGACACAAACACGCCGAATAAACTATTCAGACGTCAAACACAAAAAGCAGCGTGCTGTTTACAAATTTTAAAGACTAGTTCGAGGGTTTACGAACCCCATCTTCAGCTGCAAACCGCAATGAGCAAGATAGGAAATAATGATTAGATAAGATGAAAGCTGGACAGAATAGCACGTGCGCCATCGTTGGTGATCCAAACTAAAACTACTTTCTTAAAGGCCGAAGGCAATTTGGATTGGAATTAGGATCGTTAACAGAACAGAAGATTTTTATGATGTTAAATGCCTCTAGAAAATCCGGCTCCATGGAGATGTTTTTGAATAATTTTGCAGCAGAAAAACTGGAAGGTGGTTTGGACAACAATTGAGCAACAGAAGACTTCTGGTTCCTTTTTCTAACATAGTCTCATGTCTTGACGCGAAATTTTCAGGCTCTCTTAGTTTGGCCAAGTAAAATTAAACCACATGGCAAGGAATCCTATAAATAACCCAGGATTATATCGAATTGGGGTCCTGAGTAGGACTCGGAATTTATTGATGAGAAGCAAAACAACCGAAAGTTAAATTTCTGCAAATACGTGCAACTTTATAGCTAATTGATGGAAAGAAGGGAATGCAAACGAATTTTTATATCCTAAACAAGATGTGCTTAGTGTGTTGAGATGAGAATTTTTTACTGCGTGTTAAATGTTGGGTGGAAAGCCCCTGTCAATAGCTATGCTTTTAAATAATTAGTTTCATCAATGGCTAGTTGGAGGAGCAAACTTGACGGCACGGAAAACCTAGGATTAAATGACTAACTTTGTTTAGCGGATGACATGATTTAAGTGTGGGGCAGGCAACCGATGAGTTTACGTAAACCGTGTATGAAGTGGATGTGTACGTGTGACCGAATGTCGAGAAACGGAAGAGATGCAAGTCTCAAGTTCAAGTGAACTGAATAGCGGAGCAAAGAATTCATTGTGAAGACTTATTTAAACCTCTTATTCCTCAAACAGAGTAGGAAAAGTATTGTCTACTTAAGGAACCAGCGGGAAGTTTAAATTCAAACAATTTTGATTCAAATAATGCATGTAGATATCCGCCAGGGTGGGGACTGAGGGGGCTTCCATGGCTAATCCCTCAGTTTGTTGTAATTTTATTTGGAAAACAAAACTGTTTGTTTAAAAAAGTGAGTGAGAGAAATTGCTCATCAATTCGATGCAAGAGAAATGAAATCGCGAAGTCTGGTATCTAGACATCTAATGCACCCTCCACTGGGACATTGGGAATAATGAGTTTACATCAAAAGAAACCATGAGTAAAGTACTAGGAGAAATTTTTTAATTTTTTTACAAACTCTATTGAATTTTTTATGGTGTAAAGTATTGTCTAATCTAGATAATCTGTCTAATGAACTAGAAACTAAATATTAGCTAATGGTACGAGCCGCTCGTATCATTAGCTAAATATTTTGTCAAAAATAAAACTGCGATTAAAATCTTCACAAAACATTTCAAGAAATTAAAAATCGCTTCCATCATTATGAATGGGCCAGTTATATGCTCTTTCCAAAAATTCATAAAAGTGTTATTCCTTTCTGCCCTATTGTCAAATTTAGGTACTGCCTCGTATCCTTAGCTAAATATTAGTTTCTAGATTTTCAGCCTCTAGACAATAACATTTACACCATAAAAAATTCAATAGAGTTTATAAAAAAGGTTAAAAACATTCTCCTAGTAAATTTACTAATGGTTCTTTTGATGTAAAATCATTATTCACCAATGTCCCAGTGGAGGGTGCATTAAGATGTCTAGAAACCAGACTTCGCTAATTTCATTTCTCTTGCATCGAAATTGATGAACTAATTTCTTTCACTCAACTCTGTTTGAAACAAACACATGTTGTTTTCCAAAATAAATATTACAAGCAAACTGAGGGATTACCATGGGAAGCCCCCTCAGTCCCATCCTGGCTGATATCTACATGCATTATTATGAATCAAAATTGTTTGAAACTTTAAACTTCCCGGCATGGTTCCGGTACGTAGACGATACTTTTACTCTGTTTGAAGGTAATAAAGATGGTTTAAATAAAGTTCTTTCAACAATGAATTCTATTGATCCTGCTATTCAGTTCACTTTTGAACTTGAGACTTGCAATTCTCTTCCGTTTCTCGACATTCTGGTCACATGTAACACATCCAAACTTCAGTACTACGGTTTACGTAAACCTTCATGGTTTGCCTTCCACCACACTTTAAATCATGTCATCCGACTAAACAAAAGTTAGCTTCATTTTATTCCTATGTTTTCCGTGCTCTTCAAGTTGCTCCTCCAAACTAGCCCTTGATGAAGAAACTAAATTATTTAAAGCAATAGCTATTGACAGGGGCTTTTCACCCAACATTATTAATCAAGCAGTTAAAAATTCTCATCTCAAAACACTAAAAGGCACACTCTTGTTTTAGGAGATTATAAAAATTCTGTTGTCATTCCCTTCTTTCCATCAATTAGCTATAAAGTTGCACATATTTGCAGAAAGAATTTAACTTTCGGGTTGTTTATTCTCCCATCAATAAAATTCCGAGTTCCATACTCAAGGATCCCCATTCCGGATATGAATTCCTGGGGGTATTTATAGGATTCCTTGCCAGTGTGGTTTAATTTACATTGGCCAAACTAAGAGAGCCTTAAAATTTCGCGTCAAAGGAACATGAGGCCATGTTTAGAAAAAAGGAAACACAGAAGTCTTCTGTTGCTCAACATTGTTGGTCCCAAAACCACACTTTCAGTTTTTCTGCTGCGAAAATTATTCAAAAAACATCTTCCATTGGAGAACTGGATTTTCTAGAGGCATTTCACATTCATAAAAATCTTTCTGTTCTAGTTAACGATCCTAATTCCAATCCAAATTTGCCTTCGGCCTTTAAAGAAATTATGTTTTAGTTTTGGATTCACCAACAGATGGCGCCACTTGCTTATTCTTGTCCAGGCTTTCTTATCTTATCTAATCATTATTTCCTATCTTGTTCATTTGCGGTTTTGCAGCTGAAGATGGTGGTTCGGTAAAACATCGAAACTAGTCCTGTGAAAATTTTGTAATTATAACGCTGATTTTTGTTGTTTGACTTCTGAATTAGTATAAAATAACTGGTTTAAAAATCACAATAGTAAAA